CCCAAATGCACCCAACACTTCTTCAAACCTCACTAGTCTTCTCTGTCTTAACAGAGGATTCCCAGAAGGTTTGCTATGAAGGGTATCCTAATCCAATTTTAAATTTGACTGTCTGTCAGTACTTCATGTGGATGGGTACAGAGAGGAAGAGTGTTTGACTCTCCTCATTCAAAACTTAGAGTGCACAGAAGGCCTGTGTTACAATGTATAAAGTGCACAAGGTAAAATGCTACAAGTTTTCTTCTCACTGTAGTTAGAAGTCATTGATATATGTATATATATTTTTTTCCTCATCCACTTAATGAGATTCAGAACAATCTTCTGGAGAGACTCAAGTCATAAAATCAAGAAAATGCAGCACAGGCTTGTTTGCTCTTACCATGTGAGCCAGTGGCTTGACAGATGTTGGTAGTGGCAGGGCTTGACCTCCAGCAAGTAATCACTGAGGACCCTCTTCTGCTTTAGAGAGGGGAAAAGTAAACTTAGCTGAATTATGAGTGTAATTGCTTCTGTGATAGAAGAATGCCTGGCTTGCTTTTTATCCTTCAGGCCAGCAAGCTCGAAGCACAAAATGTTAATCATGGCTGTTTCAGGAAGTTAGGGACTTCTGGAAGTGTTCATGCCCACTCTATTTGATTTCAGGGAATTAAGCAGGGGTTTTAAATTGATAGACTGAAAAATGCCAGTCAGCCTAGGGCGCTAAAGGAGCGGTGGTGGGCAAACGTAATGCACTGATAATAGAAAACAGCACTTCTCCATCAAAAGTGACTTCATACAACAGAGATGCTTGACTTGGTACTTTGTGGCTTTTTTTTTTTCCAGATGAACTGCCTATAAAAATATTGTCCCTCTACTCCTGTGTTCTTTATAATCAAATGAACTGTAAGGCAAGAATTTTTGCTGTGTGTTTTTCTGTTCCTAGGCTGCACCACTGTGTGCAAATTTGCTCCTGAAGTTGTTATTCCATGACAATTTACATGTTTTGTGTTTAATAACTTAAAAGTACTGTATCCCATTATATTTTCACTTGCCACATTACTTTCCTAGGTATCTTTCAGGCTTTTCTCAGCTGTCAGCTTTGTAGATGCATTTTCAGAAATGCGTAAGAAATAGTCCTAATATTCAGAATAAATAGCCTTTGTTTCACAAGGGCAGAAACTTGAAATAGACCTATTTTGCAAGGTTAACATGACAGCTGGTGTTAACATGACAGTCTACAATATGTAGACTGATGAGTGAAGGGGAATATAAATAGCATTTACTTTTCAGATCTTCAGACTTAAGAGATAGTCTTTGGGTGTATTTTGAGTAGCCTGCCACTATAAATGCTTAATATGCCTATTGTAAATGCCTATATTTGCATTTTCAAGTGTATCTATATTGTGAGACTTGTAGGCAATCTTAAGAGAATTCTGAAGTCAGCTATTAACTATAGGGAATAATATTGCTGTAATATGTCTGATTACAGGTATCTATAGAGAGCTTTGTCTGGAATCTGTGAAGAACAAGTACGAATGTGAAATTCAAGCCTCTCGACAGCACTGTGAGGTAGTGCCAGCTGCTTTAAATTGAGAGCTGATCTTGTCTATCTTTTACTGTGTCAAACTTTCGAAGTTCAGTAATATGCCTTTTAGTATTGTAGTTATTTGCTATTTAATGCAATTGTCTTCTGATATTTCACTCCATTAAAGAAACTCTTCAAAACATGTCAAAATTAGCTTTATATTGTTTTGATATTGCATTTGATTAACAGCATCTTATTAAAGGTTAAAAATACCATCTGGCAATTTATTGTTTTGCAATAATTATGTAGAACAATAACTAAAATGCCTACCATAATTTTAGTAAAATGCACCCGGCATTTTTGGAGGGAAAACACAGAAGACTTACTAAGTCTCTTTATATGTTTTTACCTGGTGATATGCTTGTCATTTCAAAAACAGTTACTGGAATTAAAATCCTTTCATATAGAGTGGTATCTGGATGTGGGATGCTTAGTACAAATAGCTGCATCTCTTACATAGCTACTGTGATCCTGAAATTTGAACCATAGTCTTCCTCAGCCGCCCTTTACAGTTGCTTAAATTTGTTTTCTTCTGAGTGGTTGATGCTATGACTGAAGTCCAGGGCTCCTAATACCCTAATGAAGCAAGAACATACACACCTTCTTTAAAAATAAATAAATAAATAAATAAATCTTGATTCTTTGGGAAAATATGAGGTCTAATGAAGGGCCACCTGTAACTTCCTTCTTATATAAAAAGGTTGAGAAATATGCAAAAAGAAGTCTTTGGAATTTTACATCGTAATGTCAGATGCATTTCCTATTTATGTTTTAGTAGATGTGCAAGCTTATGAAAGAGTAATTCTATTTCCTTGAGACTCACAACTGGGTTCAACTCCAAATTATTTGCTTATGGAGTTTGGAGGTTTTATATAACTTGGTCTGTGCAGGTGGTGTGCAACTGTTATCCATTCTATGTGGAGGACCATAAGTGCGAGCAGTTGTGACACAAAGCTTGTTTTATCATTTTAAAACATCTAGGCATGGAAGAGAGAATATGTTAAATGATGTAGAAAGTTCGTATGTGAGTGCATTTTCATTTGTCTTTGTAGAGAAAAGATGCTAATGATACTCCTGACATCAAAGGCATTATGTTAGTTAGTTAACTCTTTTGTTAACTAACTAACTTTTCTAAAGCACTGTAGTAAGGGTATTTATTGTAGCTTTAAGGTAGACATTTTTGCTTTCACAGCTGCCTAGGTTATTTTATGCACGCAAATTATTTCTAAGTAAGGTATTTTTGAGGTCTACAGAAATATGTTGATAAATACTGTAGTAATTAAATGAGAACATAGAGTGAAACATACTTCCTTACAGTTCTTTGTGAATAAATGTTTGCTACCCATCAGGAAAATACTTTGTGTCATAATACGGGCAGTTATTCTGGAGATCTAACTCCATTCCTTGTAAAGTTACTTATTCTTGCTATTGATAGCTGATAAGTGTAAATATGTTTAAGCCAAGTGAATGTGCTGTCTTTAAGGATCTAGAGTTTAGTACTAAGCAATTGGGTAGAAGGATGTGCTATAGATTTTATTGCTTATGAAAACTTCCACCAAAATGTCCTCTTCCTTCTGCTGTGTCATGCTATATATACTGGAATGATGGAGCTCGATCACAAATAAATGCAAAACTTCTTGCCTTTTTTTTCTTAAGAGTGAAAAGCTTCTCTTGTATGATACTGTACAAAGTGAACTGGAGGAGAAGATTAGGCGACTTGAAGAAGACCGGCATAGCATTGACATTACCTCAGGTGGATGGAAACTGATATTTTGTTTAATCTTCTGGTAGCTACAGTTTACTTGAATGTGCAGTTAGTATGTCAAGGGAGTTTCAGATTATGTAGTTGAATGCTCTTCAGAACTAACCCATAGACTTCATGGGCCTGAATTTAAGCTTAAACTTTGGTCCAGTAATTGGCAGCATCCCTTGTGCATCTTGAGAACATTAATCTATGACTGCAGAATCATGCAATATATTCTCCTGTGAACTAACACCCTCTCACCAGAAAATCTGGTATTTTCAGTTTTTGGATAAAGTATTTGCCATAAAAAGGAACTCAGTGTACAAATATTCCTGATTCATAGCACATTGTTGTTTTTGTTTTTAGAATTGTGGAATGATGAACTGCAATCCAGGAAGAAAAGGAAGGATCCTTTTAGTCCAGATAAAAAGAAACCTGTTGTTGTGTCAGATATCCTTTTGCTACAGTCATTGTTCTTTCTAGTTTCTTTCTATCATTAAAAACAATACGAGGTGATAATGAATGATGAAGGAAACCTAGATGACACATCCTCTTTCTGAAACTTGAAGTTTAGATTCTGCTTTTTAACTACTAGTCAAGAAAAACTAACTTTTATGAGTTAAAAATATTTTTGAACTAGTTGGTTTATGCAGGTCTGTGTAAAGCAAATAGCTGGAAATCTTTCTTTCCTCCTGAGCTTTTGCTTCCTGTAGGTATTCCTTGTGTGAACTATTGGCAGAATAGCTGCTCTACAGTCTTTGGGGTGCTTTATTATCTCTGTTTACTTACAGTTTCTGTTTAAAAGAGTGCCTTAACTTTTCACGCCCCTATATAGTTTATATGTTACAAGATCTTGATATACTTGAAGACTGGACAACAATAAGGAAGGTAAGGTGAAAGGATGAATGCAAACCTTTGCTATTATTTGTTCTGGTGGTTTTGGGTTTTGTCTAATCGTTTTCTCTCTTATCAATGCAATAAATAGGTTCTTATTTCAGCACTGGTCATCTAATGATTCAAGCACAAGCTATTTTATTGTTGCCTTTTCTGATTCAACCTAAATCGTACAGAAGAAATGAATTAGGAAGTGGGAGAGATGATGCCTCGAATGGGTAGAACACAATTTTCTGCGATAAGCTGATTGTGGAACAAAAACCTGCTTTAAGACTGTCATGATTTTGTATAGTCTGAAGTAATTGGATAAAAACTCTTAAGCAGTTTCATAGCATTTTTCTTTTAAATTAAAATATTTGAATATAATATGGTGTGTTCTCATAGGAAATTGTTTATTTTAGTAAGCTTTATATGCTTTGACCTCTAACACCATTTTCATTCTGTGCTATGCTAAAGTTGTAGCCTTGACTTTCCCAGGTTATAAGAGAATCGGGGTTTTCAGAAGGAGCACTTTGCTTGACCAGATGATATATTTGAAAAAATAAACTAGCTTTTGAGCGCAGAATCTCTTTGTCAAATCTTGATGAAGATTACTAATAACGTAAATTATTAGTTAAGTTTGTGTCAGCAAATGCTTTTCTTTCCTTGCTTGACTGGAAAGTTTCCTCTTGTACTCCTCTCAACCTATGGAACAGCAGACCTCGTCATGTGAATTATGAAACTTGCTGGGGAATGCTTTGAGTGTCCTGTGTTGAGCTTTATGTTTGCAAATATTTCCTAAGCAGAAAGTAAATGTGATGTGTATATGAAATCTTGTCCGACTGTTCTCTGCTGATGGTGTCAAGAGGAGCAGACGCAAAGTATCTTTTCCTTAGATTTCTTAGCCATTGTGCCACATAATTTAAAACAATGGTAAGAAATGCAAAATCTGTTGTGAAATGGTGGTCTTGTGAACTTATTTTAAATAAGTAAAGATATCCAATCTTAAACTTTTTTCTACTTACTGATAAGTGTGATCCACTGTCCTCATGAGGAGATTAAAAAAAAAAAAAAAAAATGTGAATTCTGAACTTCTGATTCCGGAGAGTAGATTGTTGATAGCTCATCTTGTGTTTCAGAATGAGAACTAAGCCAAACTTTAGTTGATGTTTTGGAATGCAAAAGCAGGTATATTGAGCTACACTGCAACAAAAACTGAAAGAGCATCTCATAAATGAAGTTGTCAGTTAAAAGACTTAACTTTTTCTTCTTTTGTGTTTCAAGGCAATGGCTACGCTGGGGCCACACAGAGTAAAGCCAGAACGTAAGTGAGCATTGATTTCACAAAGCTTGCACAGAACCTGCCTGTGCAACAGTGTGAACCGCACCTAGGCAGATAACATTAATTTTAGTCTGAGGTACATTAGGAGGATGGGGCGAGGTAACCAGATGATCTACCTTTCTTCTTCCCTCTTTGTCAGGTGCTCAAACTTGTAGCTGGGTTGCTTATGATTTTGTTTATTTGGCAGTAGATGGCAGGTTAGGTATTCCACCTGAATTGTGGAAAATTATTAACGAAAATACAGACTTTAAATGAGTTACACTTATCAATTTAGTAAGCTGTTTTTATTACATATGAAAATAATTTTACACAATGTGAGCAGAAAACGGAGAACGTCTGGATCCTAGAGGAACTTTTTAAAAACTATCTACATTCAGGGCAAGCTGCAACCCTAAAAAAGCAGAGTTATGAGAAAGAGTAAGTGATATTTGGCAGTGAGGTAATTACCAGGAGGCCATGAATGGCAAGGAAAAGGGAGAGAAGGTAAAGAGATCGTGCATTTCTTTTAGTGATGTATGGCTACTGGCATGCTATGATAAATGACTTGGTGCAATGGTAAAAAGTTTTCAGGATCTACTATTGGAAGGTTTGTCTATATTGCTGCTTGTGAAAATTCACAATGCAGATATTAGAAGGTAGTACGAAAGATATTTACTATCTGAGAGTAGAAATATAACTTACATTCTTACTCCCCAGTTAGATTTATCTTGCTTTTAATTTTCCGATCTGAGTTAATTAAGGCTACTTTTGACAATGAAAGGCTGTTTGTGCTCTATGTAGATAAGTTATTGAAAGTGTATTTATAAACATAATTGACTAAATCAATATTAAGTAGCTTTTGTTGACTGTTTTAGCACCTGTCAAGTTAGAAAAGCATCTACACAGTGCTAGATCTGAAGAAGGAAGACTTTATTATGATGGGGAGTGGTATGGACGTGGACAGACGATATGCATTGATAAGAAAGATGAATGTCCTACAAGGTAAAGATTATTCAGTTCATGCCTCTCTGTACAGTACTATTAGGCAGAAAATAACCTGATGGAGCCTGAAGAATAAGACTTATTTGAAAATACTACCACATCAATAATATTGATAAGAATGATGAGAATGGCTGTTTTTGTTTTAACCAGTTAAAAATATTTGTAGAAATTGTGATGCAGATGCCCTCTTGGAGAAGGAGGAGAGAAAATGTTTGAATGAATTTGTCAACTGTTAACTCCTGTTAACAGTTACCGTTAACTACTTTCATTAAAGATAAATGAAGATACTTGAATATGAAAGATCTCTGTTATAAGCTCTGTTTTAAGTATAGTTTTAATATCTTGAGCATGACGTCTCCAACTAATGCATCTTTTCATTTACTGTTGAGAAATGCAGCTGCAATTTTGAAGTCGTTTGAGTTTATAAGGTCCATAATTTTGTTTCTAAATTGCTCTTTCTTTCTTTTTTCCTTCTCTTCCCTTCCTCTTTCTCATTCACTTCCTTTAGTGCCATAATAACAACAATTAACCATGATGAAGTTTGGTTTAAAAGACCGGATGGAAGCAAGTCCAAGTTATATATTTCTCAGCTACAGAAAGGAAAATATTCAATAAAGCATAATCACAACTGACCCTTTCTAACCAGTTATGAAATAAATGGTCTTGCCATGCTTGATGTGCCATGGGGTGAAAGTTATACCTAATAGTGTTTTGTATTCCCCATAAATTTACAGCAGTATCTGATGTGTATTTGTAGTGCTGTATGTAAACTTCATATGGAAGGCCTACAGAAACCTGAACACATTAAATCATGTTGACAGACACTTTACCTCTAAATTGGGTCCAGTGCCTAAGATATGAAGTCTGCTCTGCAAGTATAATGGCTTAGAACTTCTTGTTGAAATGGTAGCGGGAAAAGGAATTTTTATCACTGGTGATCAGTTTTGTGATGGAAGTAACCACAGTTACCAGCAACTGGTTTTGTTTTCATTTCAGTGAATGTGTCATGCTTTTCCCGTGGATGTAAATTTAGCCTGTTCAGCTGTTGCTTTTGGGTAGTTTGTAAAATGCATAGGCATTATTTCATCCAAGTGGACTGATTTATTAAAATGATTGTCCTGGACAGTTCTGCTAGTACTGACTATCATATTTTGTAAGTTTTACTATTTTGCTTGTAATGAGGCAAAGCCAATATTTTAATCTATGTTTTTGAGGAGCACTTTTATAGTTCAGGACCGTAGCCTATGGTAAGCAAAGCATTGGTGATTTTATTTTTTTCCCCTTTAACCAGATTGTCAGCAAACCTCATGCGTAACGTAGATGGTGTTGCTCCAACCTGTATCCTATGTGGCCCACAAAGGTTGATTCCCGGGATGGTTATGTAAATAAATATTGTTGCATGCTCTCCTTGTTTTGTCCCCAGTTCTATGAAATATTATGAATGTTCTCAGAATTAAAATATATCCCCAGAAATTGTGTGTCTGGGCAAGTTTATGCTGACTTGTTCACCAAACATTATTTTCCAAATTTCTGTAGCTTCATCTTACTGTACACCAGAATTGTTTAATGAATCTTAGAAAGCTGAGCTTCCAGTTTATACCACAGAGAAAAGTCCTAAATTCTTAACGTTACAATAATGTGCTTGGAGCGTCTAGAAGGATAGGTGGGATTGCTGAAGAATTAATTACCTGTTGGTTATATGCACTTTAATCTCCACTTATGATGGCTCTTCTTGGAGAACGAAAGCATCCATTTACTTTAAATGATCGCAGCAAATAAGTATTTTTATTGTAATGTGTATAAATGTTTTATTCCTATATTATTTGTCTCTTCTAGTGCAGGGTGGTAACTACTTTCCAAATGCCAAATGTCCGAAATAAGACTTCGGTTTCTGCCGAGTGATGCTTTTCTACAACTGTATGATGTTAGTAATCAAATGTACATAAAGTATCAATTGACATGTTGGCTTTTAAAAATATTAACTGTATGTATACAGTTGTTTGATAAACTTTTTTGTAAAAAAAATTTGTATTTTTTAACTTAGTATATAAATAAATGATCTGTGGTAGTGGACCTCTTGTATATTGCTTTGCTCTTTGATTTCCTAGTCTTCTTGGAGTTGTAGTACCTTGCCCTAAGGAGGAGAATATTTAGGTTTTCAGGAACCTTAAATCTTTTAAATGACTTGGATACCTATTTTTCTTTCTTTTGACTATTTTTGTATATTTTTTACCTTTCATTTTTTTTTCTTTCAGAAACTTTATGGAAGCACTAATCTGCACTGATGTTGATAAAACAAGCTTAATGCTGTCAAGAATGCCTGTGCTCTAGAAGGTGCAAAAAAAAAAGTTTGTTAAAGAAAATAATGCGTAGTCTCTTCATTACTCTTGGTATACAAGGCCTGAGTGTTTCTTTTCTTCTCTCTCTGCTGGTATAATGAGAGCATATCGCTTCCCACACTCAGTGTGCGGTTACATGATGCTGAAGGGTTAGTGTAGGCAAACATTGAACTCGGTATCCCAAAAAACTATTTGTATTTGGTTCAGTTGATCATTTGTCTTCAATTCTTCTTATGTAAAACTACTCTTGTTTTATCCCAAAAGCTAGTACTCTTTTGTGTGTGTGTGTGTGTGTTTTTTTTTTTTTTTTTTTTTTTTCCCCCTCTCTTTTTTTGGTGACATAGCTTTGATTTTGTTGACAGGAGGACGAATACATCAGTAGTAGAAATTGTCAGATTCTGAACGACCTGATCACAGACAAATTTTTAAGATGATAGGGTTAAGATATATAAAGCAATGAAAATGTCAGACATACTGTTTATACCTTGAGATTTAGATGTATGAAATAAGAAGTAAAGAATAACGTGCCTTGAGTAAGAAGAGGGGAAAAAATACTTTCTAGACTGAAATGGAAAAGGCTTATATGTTTATGTTCCAGCGGAGTTGCAATTTGTTCTTACCAGCAGCACAGAGCAAATGGCTCTATTCGTCTTTTTGCATGATGGAAATACGCAGTGTATGTAGTTGAACTACAATTAATTTAACCTGAAAACAGTTCAGCTAATTTTCACATGATGCTTACTCATTAAGTGGTTTGTAAAAACAAAGCCCTTAAACTTTTAAAACATTTGGATGCTGGAACTTTGTCTCATTGATTTGGTTTTAAAACTACAAAAATCATCTCTTTTGTATTCTATGGGTTGTGAATGTGTGAACTAAGGCTAACTAGGGTGTTGCTCCCATCAAGTGGCAGGTGATGATTAAAAACTAAAATGTTCATTCAGTTTGAAAATGAATGCTGTATTCTGCCAGCTGGTTGACTTCTCTCTGTGTAGGTAAAAGGTATTTTGAAGAACAGCTGAAATGTGAAAACTTTGCACAGAAGTTGATGTTAGCCACAGAACAGATCTGTTCTGAAACTATTTTTAAATAGTCTTACTTTTTAAAAATGTATTTCTATTCTGACATTTTTCATCAACCCATAATATTTTACAGTCTTTGATTCAGTTCGGGGTATCAATTTTGCAAATAAAGGAATCATTGTGCTTTGAAGAAAAGTAATTTTATAGAATGTTTCCATTGAATTATTTAAGTATAGTATATACTTCAAAAAACACCAAACACTGATTCAGAAATAACTATAGTTTTCATGATAATAGGACAAATTATCTCACATTTAACTTTTTATTGCTATTAAAAAGTAGCATTTAATACTGAAGACCATTTTGACAAGATTTAAGAAATTTTCATGGAGGCTTGGGTGTCACAGGGCAAACTGAGGATGAGTCTGCATGGAGGTATGTTCAAATCTAAACAGGAATGTGTTAGGAATTTATTTGTCTTCGGGAAGCGAAAGGATTGTAGTTGGTAAGTTGTGAATTTCACTGTTGATAGTGTTACAACTTGCCATAAAATTAAACTTAAATTAAAAAGTTAAATTGAAAAAAAAAAAAATCCTGTTTTCAATCATATCAACATAAAAAGCATGAGATATGATAGGTGATGACAGTGTTGTCCTGTGAAATGTGTCCAACGGAACCTCCTCTTGCTGTTTGTATCTTGTCATTCATTTATTGAAGAAGTCTGGTTTTGATTGGCAATATCCTTATCTGATTTCCTAAATCTGTATTCAACTGTTTTTCTAAGTGACAAGGTATATAATAGAAAAATGTTTGTTTTGAATGTTAGCATCATTCATAGTTCCCTTTCCCATTTTTCTTTACTATGGGAAACATTATTTGGACTGTCGGTTTTCACAACAGTCACATGGTTTGGGTTGCTGTTTTATGTAAGTCAAAACCAGTACATCAACTTTGTGTCAGTGTTCAGTTTGCAAGATGGGAGCGAGGATGATGTTTCTCTTTTTAGAATGAAGAGGGCAATAAAAATAGATTTTTGTTTTGGTAAACCACAGAGAGATGTATGAATACTGCTCCCGATCTTCTGGAGGAATTTTTGAAGAAGAGCTATCCTGAGGACAGGAAGCAGTGGGGAGAAGATGCATGCTCAGTAGGCTTTGTGCTTAAGGCTAAATTCATCAGTGCTTTTTTCCTCATCAAGCTTGCCTCAGCCTTTCACTGTTCCTTGTGTTAACTAGGCACAGTAGGCTGTGCAGAAAGCATGTTGCATATGAAAGCTGAATGCAAACACTCAATGGCCAAGTAAGCTCTGCTTTTTTAAAAGCACTTGATTAGTTGCAAAGGAAGCTTTTTACAAGACCCTTCTAGGTTAGGGGCACAGTTACCACTGGAATTAAGACCAGGTAGCCATATTGTACTTCATGCCCCTAAGGTGCCTTAGGGGCCATACTGTCCAGAAGGATGCTCAAGGGCACATGCACATTGACCTAGTCCTTTCAGAGCGATGGTCTGATGTCTGGAAATACTGTGGTGTTTCTGCAGCAAGTCTGCAGGTCAGCTGCATGATATGTCTGCAGTAAATCAGCATGGCATTTGGTGCTTATGATTTCATCAAAAGCACAGCATGTATTCAGTAAGCCAGGTATTTCCTGGGAATGCCAACATAACTGTACTCGCACTTCATTATGTATGCTCTTTTTTTCTCTGTATAGGAAATCATGTACTGATGAAACTGTGACTTAACATTTTCATATTTTTCATGTCCGTTCTGACTTCCTGGGCTGTATTTTTGAAAGTAGTACTTTCTTTGAGCAGTAGAAGCTAGAGGCAACATCCCTTATTTAACAGCTGGATAGCTTCGCTAGAACTTGTAACCTTCTTTGGCATGTTCAAACAAGAACAACATCATCAGACATCACCATTGCCTCTGTGTCCAGCAGCAAGCTGAAAAAGGATTTTTTTTTTTTCCCCTCCCTGCTCTGTAAACAAAAATAAGCTGCTTTATTTCCTTGACTAGGAGAAAATCAGTGGATCTCTTGATTTTCATGAACAAACTGAAGCTAAAGCAGTTGAAAGAAATAGGAATATTAAAACTGCCTTCCCAAATAGATGGCAGGGCTCCCAACCGAACCCTTGCTCTTCCTTTACTCTAGAGAGGTATTTTGATGGAGGCCTGCAGGTGGCAGTAAATTTATACCAAAGTTACTCAGCAATAGTTTTAGATTTTTCTATTTCAAGATATGATTAGTTTTATTACTCAGTTTCTTGTAATTGTAGTAGTGTAGCAACTAGTTTTAAACCTATTTCATTCTAATTAATGGATATTTGGAAAGAATCAAGAGTGCTTAGTGTTCTAAAGAGGATTATCTTTTACAGCTACTGAAAGAAAAATTCTATGTGAAGGCTTAGGAAGGTACAGCGATGGATTATGTGCTTTCTAGTTGCTATAGAAACAAAATACATAATTAAAAGGAAATATTACTGTTAGACTGACAAAAGTACTTAAAAAAAGGTTGAGTAATGAATGAACAGATGTTTTATATTTAAACCAAGAAACAGAATTATTTTTTTCTAATGCAGTGTCTACCTACAGAAGTTTCTTGTGCTTAGTTGACTGAAACTTAAATGATTTGTTTCCTAATGTGGATCTATTAAAAAAAAAGAGCATCAATAGTAGTAAGGAATACGTAATGCGGTGGGGACTCAAGTCAATACCGTTGCAAACTAGTGACATAGCTAATATGGCACCCTTGTCATGAGATGAATAGAAATCTCAAGCAAAAGTTTTGGAGGGAAAACATGAACATGTCACTCTGAACATGAACTGTTTAATTGTGCTTTAGATATGTCAATGTTACTTATTCTTTAAAAGCATATTTACAGATTCATATCATTGCTATAGGGCCTGCACTTGTTATTTAAAGCACTTTCTTTATGTCTCATTCAAAAGGTGATTCTTAGAAGTAATAAAATGGAGATGTGTTACAAGCTCATAGTAACACTTTTGAGCTGTAAATTTTTTTCTTTCTGATTGCATCTGCAATCAAACTAGTATGAGATTTTCATAACAGAAAATGTCAGAAGAATATCTAAATTTCTGGATCAAATCATAAAATATTGTAGGTACAGGCTGCATTTTAAATGAACTAGCAGTTAGTATCAGCTGCCAGAAGAGGGCACTTTAATGTTTCTAATGTAATGATGCTTATTTTTGGTGTTTGTGTTCTCAGAATTTTTCTTTCTTATATCATAGATGTCTATTGTAACAATTTAGGAGAATAATAATGATTGGTGGTACTTTATTGGCTTAATTCTGAAGGTGAACACATCTGCAATCTATAAATCCGGGGGGGAACCTTTCAACAGAAGGATCTTTTATTGACCCTTTATCTCAACATGTGGCTGTGGGGGGCAGGCAGAAATGGGTTGGCTTTCTATTTTCCAGGGGAAAATAAAATGATGGCATGTGATCCTCCTTCTTCATTGGTCAGAGTGAGGGGAAAGGAAAGAAAAAGTATGTTTTCATGATCATATGAACATCAAACGATAAGTTGGTTTCATGTTCATGTGATTTTGATTTCAGAAAGTGGCTGAAATCTACCCCACCAAGTGTTCTCCTTGGAATGAAAAGACAAGTAACTTCACTTATTTCCCAGGTTTCTGTGTGAAATGAATGTGTGTTTATCTCAATTTATCATCCAGTAGAGCGAGTATTCCCAGTGCTCTGCGCCTCCAGTTCAAAACAAACAGGAGGAAGCTTCACAGAGGGACACAGAGAGCAAACTCCGCGGCAGAGGCCAAGTGTTACCTGTTCCCTCCTGCCCATTCAAGGTCCAAAGAGAAATAAAGGAAAAAGGAAAGGGAAATCTTGAATTCTTGGAACACTCTGGGATAGGAAGTAAAGTTTCAGACTTGTCAGTCTACAAGGTATCCCTCCAGCAACCAGCTGTTTCATCCTAAAGCGTGAGTGCTTTGTTGCATTTTTCATGTCTATGAATGGGCTTGTTTTAAAAGCTTCCAAGATAGAAAAGACATTATAAAGCAAGCAGTATTTCTTTAGAAGACTTTTGTTGTTTTTATTTTAAAGTAAATCTCATACTTTAAATCACTTCTGTTCATGAAACTAGAACACGAACTCTTTTTTTTTTAATTGCACAGCTCTGTCTAACAAGAAAACAGAGCAACCTGTAGATACAGCTTAAAGATATAAACATGCTCTACATTATAAATAATCCCTAAAGTTTATTTAACTTTCAAGTTACCATCTTAAAAACAAGAATAAAATCTTTTCATAAGCA